CCACAATGCAGTTGTTACTAGTAGGAATAGCTAGAGCTATCTAATTGAATTGTTACTAGTGAGGATTGAAATCGAGAGCTCTCTAAATGTAATTCTTACTAGTAACAATTCAATAAGAGAGCTCTGCGATTGCATTCTTACTAGTAGCCATGCAATTAGAGAGCACTTTAATACAATTAATACTAGTAACAATTCCAAATAGAGAGCTCTCTAATTCAGTTGTTACTAGTAAGAATGCAATTGCAGAGCTCTTTAATTCAATTAGAGAGCTCTGCATTTATACATATATGGCAAGCCGTTTTAGCTTAAATTGTACCCAGCGTTACTCGTCGTAATTGCATTTTTACTAGTAAGAATTCAATTAGAGAGCTCTACCATTTAATTATTACTAGTAACAACAACAATTACAGAGCTCTCTAATTCAATTCTTACTAACAATTCCAATTAGAGAGCTCTACAAATAAATGTTTATATATTTTCATATATGTCTCTATTGACTTCCATTCATTTTTAATTACGGAGAATTATTATACGCCTGTTTAACCTAAGCTAATTTGGGTGGGTTTCTCCCATCCCCATACAATGTCACTTGTCTGTCTTTCACGGCCCTGATGAGAACGTCGGTCTCCTCGGCTGTGAACCGCTCCTGGCGTGCGCCTGGCAAATCCACCATTATAATAGCAATCCGCTATGGAACAAGCATGCCTGCTTTTAAAGGGAATGTGAGATGACGCTCTGATTGGTTTATTGCACGTTATGCCTAAACCACACCTATGAGAAATGTAGCTACTTCAGTCCAAAACATTTTAAATTTGCGTGAGATCCGCCCACAAAGTTACTTGCGTTTCGCGTTTGATACTTGTGTTTCACATCGTTAAAATAGGGCCCTTTGTGTTATCTGTCAAAATGACGGACGGCTTTCAGATTTTTCTGTCACTGCTAAAAAAAAGACAGAAATGTACAGACAGTTTTTGCTTGTGGAAACTTAAAACCGTTCTGCGTTGAGCAAGATTGTATTTTGTTTATCTTCAGTTGGATTTTTAACTCAATAGTATTCATGTAGCCTACTTGCTTCTGTAACAAATGCAGATCTACATATAAACTACAGAGAACATCAGAACAATGACTATTGCAATGCGGTCTATTTTAATGCTAAAAAGAGATACAGATACAATCCTTCCTTGAGGTACTCTGTTTGTGGATGCCAGACAGGGTGTTTGCTACTCTGAAGTCTGTTTAATAGAAATCTTTCAATTAAGATAGACAAACAACCTCTAAAATTCATTTCGTACAAATCCTTTAAAATTCCAAGTTTCCATGTCATGTCATAGGCTTTCTTCAAATAAAAAAGCAGCTATGACATGCTCTTTAAGACAGACAAGATGGTCTGTACTAGTGATTTGATCTTTCCTGAATCCACATTAGGCATTACTTATGAGATGTTCAGATTCCAGTATCCAGACCAGGGCGTCATTAACCATCCTCTCCATTGTTTTGCATAAGCAACTGGTTAAAGCTATAGGGGGATAATTAATGGGATCTGGTGAGTATTTTTATGTTTACGGATTTGTCCCAATCACTTCCATTGTAAGTTTCTCACTGTAACCCAGACTTGCTATATTTAAAGAAAAGGAGGGACAAGTCAAATATGTTTTTTGTGTGTAAAATGCCTCAAGTGCTGTTGATTGAGCATAACTTGTACTGAACCGGAATATTCCTTTCAGTGAGATTAGAGGAGAATGCTGTCAGTTACTGTATGTGTAATGTCAGCTGTTGTGTGATCTTCTTCTGCAGCTCCTTGAGCTAGGTGTGTCGGGCGTGGGAGATATTGTTCACCTCCAATGTACAGGAAGCATCAGAGATTCTAACAGAGCCATAAATAATCTCTTCTGTTCAAATATGTTTGTATCTCTGCTGTTTCCTGTATATTTGAGATGAGCAATATCTCCCACGCTCCCCATCTCCTCACAGGAAGTTCATGGAGCTGCTGAAGAGGATGCAGGGAAATTACCATCTCCAATATCATGTTCATTAAGTGACGTAAACTTAATGCACAGTGGGACTTATTAAAAATAACAATGTGCTTCTGTGTGTGCATGTAGACGCAAACTGACTGTGAAATCAGCAATCACCAACACTACAACAAAACCTTAACAATTCTGAAACTCTGACCATTTGCATATCTCACAGGACAGTGACTCACTATTTCCTATCCAACAAATCCAGCATTGCTCATTCAGTGTCCATGCCAGCATTGGACATAATTATGATGATTAGAGTAGTACGTTGTAACGTTTAAGTGTATAATGGTTTAAACAAACAATTTATAGCATGTTATATCCACAAGTTTTAATGGATTATATTCCCCATAGTTATAATGTATTATAAGTCTCACATCTTGATATTATTTAAGATCTGAACAGTATCTCACTACATCTTATGAGTGGTTGATCATGGTAAATGGTAAATGGACTGCATTTATATAGCGCTTTCACAGACCCAATGGCCACCAAAGCGCTTTACATTTGCCTCACATTCACCCATTCACTCTCTCATTCATACACCAACGGGCACAAATCATATTTGTGTACAATAAATTTAGCAAATGTGTCATATAGCCCATTCATGATTCTGGCTTAATCTAAGCCCTGTCTGTGTAACCAGGCCATCAACCCCCGGTTTCACAGACAAGTCTTAAGCTAGTCCCAGACTAAAATGCATGTTTGAGCTGTTTTAACTGAAAGCAACTTGCACTGACATATCTTAAAATATTTCAGAGTCATTGTTTTGTCTCAAGATGCACACCAGTAGTGTTTTATCTAGCCACGTTTATAAAAGCCACTTAAATGCCCTAATTGAACTAAGATCTAATCCTGGCTTAATCTAAGCCCTGTCTGTGAAACCAGGCCTATGTGTTATAACTGTTGTTGTGACATTCATGAGATTTATGAGATGTCATTTATGAGGTTTTTATAAGGCCTTATGCATGCATTATAATGAAGTAAGAATACCTTTATAATGCATACTAAATACAAGCTTCATAGAAAGTGTTACCAGATATTTTCATACAAAACAACCTACAAAATGAGGAAAATAAAGAGAGAAAGTTGGAGACCCAGAATAAGTTTGAATGTGCCGTGATATATAAGCCTCCAACAAACTCTTTGGAGATGCTTAACTGCTCTATTCATCAGGGCTTCACTGAACTCGCTCATCCCATGCAGCCTCTGCCAAGCTCATATGCCAGCCGCAGAGAGAGCCTGCCTCTAATGATGCATTGTTTTCCAACCACAGCTTACTTAACAACAATCCTGAGCAAACCCAGCTGAGTGTTTGCTAATCATTTAGTAACACTTTGTGCATTCTAGAAAACTTCAGAACCAGCATCACAAGCTGCCTGGTGTGATTTGGCTTTTGGCTTGCCAACAATGAATTATACCTTCAGGGTATAGCAAATGGCATATAAATCAATCCTACACTCTTAAAAAATAAAGGTTATTTGTTGGCATCTGGCTCTATGAAGAAACGTTACCATCCATGGAACCTTTCCATTTTGCAAAAGATTCTGTATAATGGGAAAAGGTTCTTTAGATTTTTAAAATGGTTATTCCATGGAATCACTGTAAGAACCATATTCTGGAAGCTTTATTTTTGAGAGTATAAAATAAATGTAAAATTCTCTTAAATTACCAATATACATCCACATGATCAAATCTATAACAAAATTTCTGTTTTAAATTGTATTTATTGCCATATGTTTTTACTGTATGAGAGTAGAAAACAGACACCAAGAGAGAGGGAGAGACTGAGAAATTGACCCAGACCAGATTCAAACCTGCATCCCTATGATCGCATACACTACCCACTGTGCCACAGCTCTGACCTACAAGATTTTGATGTACATGGCATGTGTTGGAAAAGTCAGAGGCACACCAGATCAAGTATTTTACGGCTCCAGTCTTTAAAGTTTGCAGTCATTCATGTCTTCAAAGATCAAAGCTCCCTCACCATCCATGTGTGAATGCACAGGTTCATGGAGCGTGTAGAGCCGTATCTGTTTACAGCTCGAGTCGGGTCCTTCCCATCTGAGGCTGGCTCTTGCTCTCGGCCTGTGCCTTTGAAAGATGAAGCCTGCCAAGATACTTTAACAAACCGTAACACGATTTTGTAATCTGTTGTCAGTGAGGAGCACTAGAACTATCTTCCATTTGTCCTATGTGCTCTTCTATGATAAAGGAAGCAAATCTCTGTCCTAAACACAATTTGTCTTATAGAGGACCAAAACATTTTGTTAGATCAGTATCATTTGATGGTCCTGGAACAACAATCCTATCAAAAAAGTCTCCAGCACTAATCCTGACCCTCAACTACCACTAAAATACACTCAGTGTGCAAACACTTCACCCTTAGGGGTACAACAGCTAGTCACTGGGGCAGTACACTATAAAAAAACAGTAAAAGGTGCATATTAGTACTTTAGAAATATGTATGCCTACCCTTAAGGTATACTACGAACCTTTCAGGGGTAAATTCAGTTGTCCCTTTAAGGATACTGCCCCAGTAACAAGCAGCTTTTACCCTAAAGATACAATTTTTGCATTTTTCTTCTTCTTCTGTGTAAGAAAGAAATAGTTTGATGGTGTACTACAAGCCCTTAACTTCTATTATCCCTAAAAACCTGATTGGTTTATGGGGAATGACGAGCAATGATAATTGTGATACATGTGACTCAGAAGCATATATAATATGATGTCAAAACCCATAGGTGAAAGATTTGTGACCATACTGTTAACCAACCAGCTGGATATATTTTTAAACGGTAGCCATGCTATTTTGCATAAAAACCGAACATCACACTCTGCACGTCAAACCGCCGTTGTGATTAACCTAATTAGTTACACTTAAGTAAAGTAACCCAGTTTGTTTGTTTTTTTCAAAGGTAAGACCGTCTAACGACCAACGTCACTCACTTAGTGGGGCGTCACGTCGAACTAACTTACCGAATTTCCTGTCCGCGATGGCAACGGCGAGCGCGTGGACAGACAGCAAGGCGAGGAGCAGCGCGCGCACAGAAGCCATCCTGCCCATCGAGCGCAAACAGCTCCCGTTAATTCGGCATAGCGGCTCTCACGTTTCAGGGGTGATGTGATTAGAGCGGAAGTAGGTCAGAGGCGAATGTGATGGAGGATAGTGAGATGAGTGATGCTCTGGTGTGGTACCCCGTGTCCTGTACTCAACTCTAAAAGCGCGAGGCGCATTCAGCACCACGGTCAGCGCCCCGCCTCAGCTGCTGACGTCACTCGCTACATGCGCTTTCTCGCTGTGTTTTTTAAGACTTATGCGCGGTCAGTTGTATTTAGTTTGCAGAGATTGAGCTAGCTTCTTCTCTGCTTTTCTCTTATCAGATAGATAACACTTCCTCAACCCCTTCTATGTTGCTCTCCAGCGGTTATTATGCTCAAAGGTTGTGCCCTCTACCGAGATGCTGGTATGCTGTACTTGACAAACAACGCACTACAATAATAAATCGCCTGCCACCTGTGTGATGAATAAGCAAGTCAAAGTTATGCCATAATCTATCATATTAAAAGAACGACCCATTAAAAGCAGAGAAAGTGAAGTTTAAACCGTGGACTGATAAGGGGAGATTAAATGTAGATAGACACATGCACACTTTTTTAAGCTATGACATGATTAATTAAAACCAGGGACGTAATTTTAAAAGTGCATTAATGTGAAAGTATTCCCACCATTATGAGAAGAAGCAAAATCCAAGCAGAAATCAAAATGGAGAAAAAGAGTAATGTGAGAGTAATCTTGTCACTGTAGAATCAGAAGATGACAGTCCACCCAAACATTAAGGTTCAAGTTCAAACAAGCAACACAGCTTTTTCACAAGTAATCTGAATTTCATGTGCTTTTTCTTTATTTTATACCATGATTTTAGACGGATACTGAATAGACCTCAGATTAGGGAAATTTTCAATCATATATTCATAGCTCAGAACACATTTGGTAACTACTTTATTGACATTTCTACGGTTTGATAGGAAAAAAGTAGTTCAAGTATAATTTTTGACAACATGTCACACCCTAGTTGGATCTAAGTATAACACAAAATATGTAAAAGGGAGGGACATATTTCATCAAAGACACATTGATGAAATAAATAATCTTATTTTAAGACATACCAGATTCACTGATATGTTTTTAAAAAATAAAAGCCTTTGAGAAGATTTTAACCTACAATGATCTGCAATACAAGAACACAACTGCTTGAAACTGTACAAAATAAAATAAAATGATGAAGTATCAAGGGTGATGGGCAGTGTGAGCACTCTGCTTTTAGTGAACCAAGATGTTTTATGAAAGTCTTGCTTACTTGTATAGTGAAGGCCCTTGTATATCAAATCCATCCATATGTAGAGAGTGAAAAACATGCAACACAATATACAGATGAGAAAATGAAAAAGTAACCTTGATGGATTTTGTGCAAGTATGCAAAGGCTCTTAACTATTAGCTTGCCCGTTTAACTGTTTGGTTGTTGGCATGGATTTAGGATGTCATTCAGCATCATGATAGTGGATTCATAGATGGTCCTAAGATTGAGAGAAAAAAAAGAGCAAAGCAACATTAACAGTCATACAGCTATCATTGTTTATACTGTAGGACACAGACAGCATGCTTTCACAATATGATAAAAAAAATTTTTTACCTCTGTATATTGTCAGAGTTTTCTGCAGAGAAGATATAAAAGTTCTGTATTTGTCTGTGTACAGATGCAGCAATTTCCTTCAACTCCACAACAAATGCATCAGCTGTAATAAACAAAGCAGAAAAGTAAAAATGTACTATAATCATGTAGGATTATATCACAGAAACAAGTCAAACCAAGTCTAACTTAATATCATTTATGTTTCTTCTCCAAGTCCAACTCAACTGGACTTGTTGTATGCTTTAGTACTGGATAGTGTAAAATGAATTGTGATTGCACGTCTTTCAGAATGTCTAGTGGAATAATTTTCTATAAAATGCTTAAAGCTTTACTATCAAATATTCAGGTGTTGGAACCAAGTAAAGGCCCGTTCACAACAAGGGCGATAACTATAAAGATAACTACAACGATAACTATATTAGCGTCCACACCAGCAGAAGATATCGTGTTGTGCTGCAGTTCTGTCCTCTGCCGCTTTAAATGCTCAAGCTCTTAAAGCAGGATGGATTCTGATTGGCTGTTAACATTTTTATCATTAATCAGCTGAAAAAAAACAAAAACAGTTCTGAACAGGGCACTGAACCGGTTCAAGTAAAGAAAAACAAAAATCGGAAACAAACAATTTTAAAGGGATAGTTCACCCAAAAATGAAAATTAGCCCATGATTTACTCATCCTCAAGACATCCTAGGTGTATATGACATTCTTCTTTCAGACGAATACAATCAGAGCTGGCTTTGGCTTTATAATGGCAGTGAATTGCTGTTTCTGTTTTGAAGTTCATAAAAGTGCATCCATCCATCATAAAAGTGCTCCACATGGCCCTGGGGGGTTAATAAAGGCCTTCTGAAGCGAAGCGATGCGTTAGTGTAAGAAAAATATTTATATTTAACACGTTACATATAACGTTACAATCTGTTACCATAGCAGGTTATATCCAGAGTGGTGTTTTGAAACCAGCGAAAATTGCAGGTTAGTGTAGAACTAGTGTAGAGTAGACTAGAGTAGAGTAGTGTTAAAATTGTTTTTAAATGATTAAACACCTTGTTGTCAAAGATAGTATTGTGGCTTTATGTGTGACTTTATTTATGCATGCACTTGCATGTCGTTATATTATTAACATTTTTCCAAAATCAAGCTCAAATGTAGTTACAAGATTTTTCACCAGAAAATGTTGGATATTTGTGTTTTGTCTTCCTCAAAAAGAAAGAAAGAAAGGTTTTTAAGCCCTGGATCTGAAAGTGATTCCAACAATATTGTTTCTTGGTGCTGTTATTATAATAGTCTTGGTGTGGACTCTGCTATTAATTTATATTTAGTCAAGTCACCTTTATTTATATAGCGCTTTTTACAATACAGATTGTATCAAAGCAGCTTCACAGTGATAACATGAAAATAATACAACAAAGTTTGTTTCTAGAAGAAAATTGCGCCATCGTCCACCTTAAGTAAGGCAGATCAATAATATTGTTGAATATTAAAGTCTCTGTAAAGTCAAAATTAAGTATGTGTTTTGAGTTTGTCACACCACAGAAAAATGTGTTATTAGCCACCCAGCCAAATTTGAATGATAAAAAAAGCCGGCAAGTACATCAAATAAGCTATCAAAATCTTGAAAAAATGAGCATTATTCTGTTCTCAAACGCTGGGGGCATGTCCGCTGGATGTGAAAGCCACGCCCACTCGTGGGAAAGCTCAGCTGCCGATGGTGATATTAGCTGATACTGCTTTCGGGACGGGGGGATGAAGGCCGAGGCGGGAGATAGTCGGTTCAGCCCCATTCACACTAACAACAGCGGATTATCAGTGAATCCCAGTTGTCTCCGACGAAAGTTTATAAAAGTATCCCGTGTAAAATGATCACTACAGAGGCGGGTTTTGGCGGTGATCCTCAGCTCTCCGTCAAGGTGGCTCTTCACAAAATGAATCCTTCTTGATGTGATCGTTTTTCGGAAATTTAAATAAGGACACCGATCTGTTTTGTACATGATCGCATCCAGGTAGTACGCATTACATAGTACTGACAGTAACTCGCGATTGAGCGCCAAACTGATGCGGGGCCAGCCTCAGGGGCTCCAGTGCGTCATCGAGCCCCGTTTTAGCCCCGCCCAAAAAATCCGGAACACAGAGATGGTGAAAAACTGTTTAACGTTCTAACTCAGTTCCAATTCAGTACTTCACAGTTCACAAACTTTGTAATATGATTTAGCAATACATTTCTAACATTTATAATGTGTTTAGAATTTTTTTTTAGAATTGCCTTTACAGGGACTTTAAATGTCCCCAACTAAGCAAGCCAAAAGCCAAGGCAACAGCAGCAAGGAACCAAAACTCCATCAGGAGACAGAATGGAGAAAAAATACCTTGGGAGAAACCAGGCTCAGTCGGGGGCCAGTTCTCCTCTGGCCAACGAGCGAACAGTGTATGATTATGATTCAGGCAACATTACAGGTATTATGATTTATGGAATTATGTTTAGAACTATACCTTTAAAAATGACCAGAGTAAAAAAAAACTCACATTGTTTGAGGATGGTCAGAATGTGTGTAACTGCAGCCCATTGTGTGATACTATCGATGGCCTCTGACTCTATAGAGGAGCTCATTTCAGACAGAAAAAACCTAGAACATACCAGAAAATCAATCAGAAATGTTCAATTTAAGTAAAAACAGGGATTTTAGTTCTAGCTGGTGTTTCATATTACCTGGTAACAGCAGGAGATCTGAGTGTCACTTTGAGTATGGTGTTCGATAGACGTGGAAGGTCATTAACTGTCTCTGGTGTCAACACCTCTTCCACATGAGAGATCTGCAAGTAGAAACATTAAATTGCTGTTTTCTACATTTATTCTTCAGTGTCTCAAATGGTTTCTTTTATTTTTTAACTTATTTTTATACATGGCTTTAGACAGCTCTTCCATGCTGTTTGTGGTTTTGTTTTGTCTCAAGAACAAAACAATTACTTTTTATCAGTCATTTTGTCAAACATCACACCCGAGAAAAAAGAAGAAATGCTATCGCATTGAGCTCAACAAATGTATCAATTACAAAGGCAAGGAAGAAATGCCACCCAAACATCACACTAACAGCAATACAAATAAATTATTAGCGGATTTACCTTCTGCAAGGTGCGGCTGATATCAATAATAACTGCTGCACAGAGAGAGGAGAAGACTCCTGTGATAAACTCTGACCTCTCAGTTGCAAACTTAGTCACCAGCAGAAACTCATGGAGAGCTTCCTCAGAAGAGCAACACAGCTAAACATACATAGAGAAAGGCATTTTGAAATGAAGTGTTAGAAAGAAATGTTGTCAGGCAGAAATGTCAGCCAAATTTGAACTAAATTCAGTTTAAATATGTACATGTGCACAAAGGTTTGGTAAACACATCCAGAAATTAAAGTGCTTGAGGAAGACTTTAATGTCTCTTATCAAAGGCCTCACCTCCTGACCCTCTTCCTTGTCTTTACGCAGTCGATGTGCTATGATCTCCACAACTTTCTGGAAGATGTTGGTCAAAATGCGAATAGTGAGCAACAGTTGATCTTCCTGCCCCTCAGCCTTATGGGAAAGGCAGCCCAGT